TTTATGTAGTTCAGGGCTTAAAATATTTGTGTTTTGTTTGCTGCTGTTACCCTGTTGGACTAGGTATAGGTTATTTCATTCTATCCAAGTACTTCCCTGACAATCTACTCTTTCAAATCAGAATACACATCACACTTCTTCAGCAGCACCAGGTTTTCTCATAATCTTTCCAGGACGGTGCATTTTTTTTTTAAGAAGCCCAGATTTTGTCTCCAAAAAGACTATGAAACTCCCTGAGAGAGTCCAAATCCTGACAGGAGTTTCTAGCCAATATCCCATTGCAGTCACTTGTAAGGGAGAGGGCATCTGGTGGCAGAATGACCTGGCTCAGTCTTGGTGGTGGTGGTTTTTTGGGAAGCCTTTGTGAAAGTTTGTGTCCTTGCTGGGTGCACAGAAATTTATTTGTACCTTTGGGCATTATGACAGCCTCTGCCTTCTTCATGAGGTGACTTGTTCACAAGAGCTGTTTGGTGGAGCAGTTGACGGCCTGGTAGCATCTGAGATGGCACAGACACACCAGAAGGAGCAAGGAACAGTGAGGAACAGTCAGCAGAGCTCTTTTCCATCTCAGAGTTATTTGAACCCGTGTCCCCTAGGGAGAGGGGAGCACAGAGGACAGGCTGAACATGGCAGTAAGCTAAATAAGGGTCATGTGCTAAAGGAATTCAGTTGGAATTTTTGTCCTGGAAGAGACATTTAGAAAGCCAGCCGACTTGTTGAGGACAGTAACAGGGGCTCCTGACATAAATAACTTTTCCCTCTTGGCTGGCTGTTGGTGGCCCATGACTTGTAGCTGCACTGAGACCCTGGCGCTCGACAGGTGTGTCCTGACTACACAAATAAGTGCAGTTGGTCATTGTGTTAGCCAGCCTTGCCACAGGGCCAAGGTTGATAGTGGGGCTTAGCCACTGTGACCTGTTTGTTCTCTCTATGACCCTTCCAGTCAGGCCTCAGGCAGGCTGGTGACAGCTTTTATGCAGACAGCAGATTTTGTCCACAGAAGAAATTCAGTCTCAGCAGGTCTCTGCAGACTTGCATTTCCAGATGAGCTCTTCAGTACTTAAAATGTAGCAAAACATGAGGGACTTTGGTGGGTTAAGGTGCCCCATGCAGCTGGGAAAATACACGGCATGACATGTTGGTGTTGTCTTCTGTAACACGGCCTGTGTTGTTGCAGGCACCACTGTTTTGGCACATGCTGAAATTGTAGACAGCCAGCAGAAATCTCCCTGGGATGCAGTACAGCACAGAAGTTCTTGCTGTTGCAGAAATACCATTTCTGGTGGAAAAGGACTTTGGATGGGGAGGGGATCATTGAAGGCAAGATCTGTTGGAGGTGAAGCTTTAGGAGGTGATGTGCCCTGGCTGAGTGATTCTTTCATTGCTTTCTTTTGGGGCCCAGGCCAGCAGCTGCCTTGGTACCTGAGGTCACCTGGGTTAGTGGTGCTGTGTGGGGACAGTTCCAGTCTTTTACTTCAGCAGCTGGGAAGTGGGCTCCAGAAGGAATATTATATTTCTTTTAGTAACTCTGCCAAGAAAGAGAGGAAATTCATAATTTGAGCAAAATACTTTTAGCTTTTTTTTTTTTTGTAGGGTGGCGAGAGGTAGGAAGGGGGAAATGAAAAATCCTTTATAATGGGTTGCTTGGGATGATTTTTCTCTTGGAGCGCCTTCTCAGGCTGTAAGAAATGTTCACCTCCTCTTTCTTAGTATAAGCAAGTCTTTGAAAAGGGAGCCTCCATCAGGAGTGCATGCAATTGGAAACATGCATTGGCTCAGGTCATGTATTGCACTATGATTTGGGATCCTGATAGAGTACTTTTTGATGGTAGTTAGATAATAACAAAGACAGCCTTTTATGTCCTGACTAATGTAACTTTATGAAATATTGATAATTGTGATGCCCTAGCAGAGGTCTAAGATGATGCACTGCAAAGGGCTTTAAGAACATTTTGCTTGAATTTCATTGTGTTTTCATAATCAGTCTTCACTCATTCCTTCATCCTGTGTTTCCTGTCATCCTTCTAGGATGCTGGACTGTACCTCAGTTGCTTTCTCAGTTGCTTTCTGTGTAGGTACTGCTAAAAATAGCAGTCTTTTCCCAGTGAGTCAGCCTTCAGCAAGTCTTGAAGTTCACTGTTGGGTGGCTTCTCTGGGAACACAAATGCCAAGACCTTGATTTCACAGAGTACTTAAGCATGTGCTGAATTTTAAGCATGTGGCTTAGTATTTTTCTGGATTGTATACTAAGAAAGATTGAGGTATCAATTAGCCACTAGATAGTGTTCCCTCCATAGCATTTTATATAGCATTTGACTTCATATGGTAGTTTAGTCTCCTGAATTTTTGGATGTTCAACACAGTTGCTGAAGTAAGAGGTACCTAGTTAAGTCAACCACTCAGTGCAGATCTCTGATGTCTGTTGATTGCCTTGGTCATCATGGAAAAATGCTTAACAGTTTGCAAGTGTAGAAAGTGTGTTGATTGTGACTGAAACAAAGTAGGCTCTTGTAGGAGAGAAAAGGAATTTTTTATCAAATTATTAAGTTTATATGGCAATAGCGTTTTTAACTTTCTAAGATTTGAGAATAAATTAAATGTCTGGGATATAAAAGGAGGTTACTTTTAAGACATGTTTAAATTAGTTGGATCCAAAGTTGCTATATGGAGGAGGAAGGCTGGATGAATAACATATTTAGTAAGAGTAAAACAAAAAAAAAACTCAAAGCAACACCATCACCACCCTCCCTCCCAAATCCCATCAGACCCACCCAACCCTCATCCCCTCCAGACAGGAACTGTTGATATGTGGAAAGAATGAGGTGTCTGTTTCAGAAGTAACTGCAATAGTGAGCTGGGGCTCTGGGCCGAGCCAACATGTGACTCTTCAGAACTTCCATGGAGGGTCAAGGCTGCTAGAAAGGGAACCCGCAGGGTAAGATGGAGGCTGCTTTTTTGACCTTGGAGTCACCTTTTTCAGAGCCTTGGAAATTACATCTAGTCTTAGTAGGGTTTATGCATTGAGCTCAGAATGTCTGGTTGGGCCAGCATGTGCTGGAAGGGGGATGTGGCACGAGTGTGTTTTCCATCACTGTGCAAGCTGGTGACTTAAAATCTGTATGTGGGGAGAACTTAACGGAGGGTTGAGAGTAGGGAGGAGAAGTGTTTTGGAGTAATGAATGGAATTGCATGTAGGCGTAGAGCCTGAACTCTGTCTGGGAGAGTAATAAGCAATGATGAGAGTGGATCTGACCTGACTTTTTGGTACTGTGCATTCCTCATCTCAGACACTATCTGGCCTCATGAGCTCTTGCAAGTGCTCCCTTTAAAAAAGGAATTCCTCTTCTTGCAGCCTAGTCTAACTCTAGTTTGGTTTTGTTTGTTTGTTTTTAAATGGCTATGAAAAATAAAGAGCCTGTAGCTTTCTAAATTCAGTTTTAATTGCTGTGGATCTACTGATCATAAATGTAAAGTTGCAAAGCTTTCTAGAGGATGAAAAGCTTTTCTGTGTGTGGTTTTTGTTTTTGTTTAAAATGGGTCACATGCCCAGGAATGCAGTCAAATTATAATGGTGACTAAGTGCCGGAAAGCGTAGAAAAGAGGAGGGAAGGGTGAGCAGAAAAAAAGGAGCCTGAGGCTATGGAAGGAAGGCTGGGAAAATAAGAGTCTGGCCAGACCCCAGGGCCAGGTTAGAGATTCCTACACCCATTAACACTGGAGATGTTTATTTACAGGGAGCTAATCTTTGTTTTAAAAATGACAGAGTACCCAAAAATGCTACTTTTGGGAAGTGGATTGGAGGGACTACAGGGATGGGAGGAAGAAACTGATTCTGATGAGGCACCAGTTCCCATTTCTCAAGGATCTTCCCGTCTCCCTATGAATTTGGGTGCATTAGCTGTTGAGAAATGCATGAATATAGGATAAACTCTTGTAGTCTAGTAAGTGTAACCCCTAATTACAAAGAAAAATTTCTAGAGTTTCTTCTTGTTTGTAGTTTTCTGATCTTTTCTATCTAAGCAGCTCCAGTAAAGATACTGAATAATTAAATTTATGATATGAGAAAGATGGGAGCTAAAGTTGCCTTTCTCCATGTCTTTAATCAGCTCTGGATCATGAAAACAAAACAGATGTTGAACAGTTGCTTGAACTGGATATATTAATGTAGACTCTAAGGACACCTTGTTCCCAGGTCTCTGTGGTACCTACTTTTTGTCACATCTTGAAGAGTATTGACTTTGGTTTGTCTCAGCTCATTCCAATAGCTTTGATTTGTAGCCCAATGATAGTCTCTCTTTTAGTAGCTTTGTCTGACTGTAAAGAGATTATTTTCCAGCAATGTGCTGGAATTCTCTCTCCTTTGGTGAGCTGCTGTAAAAGATAGTTTTTCTTTGGGTGTATGTGCATTGGATTGTTTATACACATGAATGTATTTTATCTTTAGTTTGAACACATCTTGATTTCTGATTATTGTATGGGATTGTCAGACAGGTGAGACTCTGGAACAGTTTCTTTACTAGTCCTTCTGGATAGACACTCTCTGGCTTCTTGTTTCAGTGTTCTCCTGACTAGTGTTTCCTCCATCTGTTCGTGTGTGGTGTTGTCCTTATCTTAAATAGCTCTTGTCAGTCTCTATTAAAAGGGTGATGTCCTGTATCTCTGGTTCTTCTGGTGGTTTCTTTCTGTGTCATCTTGTTTGGATTACATTTTTCTGAACCTGTGCTGCATTCAGTACACTTGGTCAAGTCTTGATCATATTTCTGGTTTGTGATCATCAGAGGTGGCTTTCTTTGATGGTAATCCTCCACTCTTGTCAGTGTTCCTTTCTTGTCAGCTCTCACAAATGTCCTCACTGTAGTGTGGCACTGCATCATCAGTGTGTGTCAGTTCATCATTGTGGAACCAGGGTCAGAGCTTACCTGTGGCCATTTTGAATGCATTTGTTGTCCAGAAGGCATCAGTCCTGATTGCTAATCTCATCTCTCCTCCTCTGTCTGCAGAGCTGCTGGCATTCCAGTGAAGGAAAGGGTGAAGGTATCTCAGAACTGGAGGCACGGACGCTGCCGGAGGGAGACAGTCCTGAAATGGAAATGCAAGCAAGTGGATTCTTCCTCTTCTTCTTATGTGACAGCTCCTGTGGGGCCTTGGGTTTGTGCCTGTGCCCTGAAATGAGATGTTTCCTGTTCTTTGTGCTCCATGGGGTCTTACAAGTGATTGCTGCTGGCTTATTTTGACTGTTCCTGGCTAGCTGGGTGTGGGGTAACCAGAGTTGCTGCCTTGCCCTAGGGATTCATGCTGAATGTCAGGAGTTTCTGTCTTGGCAATTTGAATTTGTCTTTGTTCTGATCTGTACAGTTTTAGTCACATTTAGCAACTTTTACAACAAACTGTTGCGTTCATGTCTACTGCTGTATACCATGAGCAATCTTTTGTCCTGCTTTCACACTGAGCCCACATTGATCCCACATGTGGACTTAGGTGTTCCCTCAAAATGCTTCATTTGTCTCCCGTGGTTTATCCTTGATCCTGATTTGGATGTACAAATCTGAAATGCTAATTGCCATTCATCTGCCTTCTGCTCCTTCATTCTCATGCTTCTCTCCTTCACTTAAAGAAAAAAAAAAAGTATATTTGACATTAATGATGGGAGCTCATTGTTAAACTCTTGTTTGCAAAGGTCTCCTTGGCTTTCAAAGCAAAGCATAAGATAGGTCTCTTGTCTGAGCTGCACATCAAAATTTTCAGCTTTCACATCATCAGACTGAAGGAAAAATGAGAAAGACTGTGGTTTGTTAGCTGCTGAAGAACAGGGACCTTCTACTGAGCTTTCATGCCTTTTTGTGCTGTATAGATTGAAGTGGTGGATAATGTGCCACTTCTTGCCTAGAGTCCTGGGAACAGCTGTAATGAGCAGAGTGGGTTTTGGTGCAGGTTGTATACCTGCCTTTGAAGTGCTTGCAACCATCTGTGAAGACAGGCTCTGTGGATATTAGAGATCATTACTAAACCAGCTTCCCAAGTGAAAAGGCAAGGACTGATTTAATGAGGCCACCATCCAAATGGCATCTCCTAATTTTCATTTATTCTGCTTCAGATTTTTTACTTCTCCTTATGAAAAAGCCATAGAAAAAGGTAAAAAGCTAAACTTCTGCAAAAGGAGAGCTGCAGAAACTGGCTGTAGTCTAGGTAAGCTGGATATTCACTTGCTTTTAGAGGACTGCGTAGGAGTGGAGGAAGGAAGGGGAAATCAAAGCCTGCCTAAACCCAAAGCTCCTGCTCTAAAGATGCCTCTTACTTTTTCCATGTATATGATCAAGTCCCAGATGAATATTATAAACTCAACTGCTTTGTCCATGTGATTAAAGGCCTGTTACTGGAGATGAATACAGGCAAGCTGGAATCTTCTGTCTAATGAGCAATCTTGTCCTCTTGCTTGTATCTAGTTGTTCACTGCGATGTTACAAGGTGCGGCTGTGTGTAATGACTCTGATGACACAGAAAATCATGACCTCTGAGGATAAATGATCTAAAAAAAAGAGGGACACAGGTTTTTTGAGAAGCCCCACTGCTTTCAAAGACATTTGTTCCTGAATAGTTTGAAAACTGAAAGGTTACTCTGTAGAAAGGCTCTGGATTTGCTCAGTGTTTCCATGGACATTGGTGCACTTGGCAATGACTGCAGAGCAGAGACATTTTCACACATCTGTGCCCCATAGGACATGAGTCCCACGTGTCTTTGTATCTGGCCTCACTATATCCAGAAATCTTATTTGCTGATTCTCTGTTGGCTACACAAAAGCAAAATCTTGAGAAAAGCTCTCACTGCCTACCTAAGTGTGTATTGTAGCCTATTTTCTTCTATATTTTGGTTTTGTTTCAAGAATAAATAAAAGTCTTGAGATGGCAGACTTGATTCAGAATGTTGCATGCGTGTCGTGTCCTCTTCTTGATCTCCCAGAAAGTAAAGCATATTTTCAATATGTAACATCAATCTTCAGAATACTCTGGAATAGTTTTTTTGGCTCCACTGCACATGGCCTGGAACCCATGGCCTGGAAGGTTTGTCAGATCCAGTGACACACCTGCCACTGTCCCACATAAAGCCGTGGGCAGAAAGGGCATATGGGCTCTTCTAAAAGATGGGCAAGAGAAACCAAGAGCTTGCTCTACAGCTTATGGCTCAGCAGGGGAAGAGGTGTGGATATAGAAAAATATGTCCTCTGTATGATGAGCATAAAGTTCTTGGGTAGCCTCAGAGTGCAGGAGGCAGGTGACTTTCTGTCTGTAGGAAGATCTGTGGTACTTTGGTGACATGCTCCCCTGCTTAGAGATGTTTGAAACTGTGGCAGCTTTGTGGCCTCTGCTGGGCACCAGCAAACAGTGTTCAGGATCAAGAGTGACTGTTTGCACCAACAGCCTCACATTGAGTGCTCTCTTAGAAATGCTCAGCATAGCTCACCAACACCAGAGTCTAGTTTCTTAAAAAGTACAGAGCTCATTTGCAGGTTCAGGGGCCCTAAAGTATTTCCCTATCTATGTTCACTAGACTTTTGGCCATCCTCTCTTTCGGAGATTCCATGCTTCCTTTTCCTCACTCTGGGTTAGAAAAATGCCAACAATGTAATCTGCTTTTTATGTTGCTGGAGAAGCTTCACTTGTAGCTGTGCTGCTATATTAAGCCCTGCTTTTTCATGTCACTTGCTGCTCCAACTTCACTTTTCTTAAGCAGGCATTTTTTTTTGTTGATATGTTTGTATATGGATTTTTTTTCTTTTTCTGTGTGAGCTTGTTTTGCTTAGTTTTCTTCTCCCCACTCCTGCGTGCTCCCAACCTGCTGTCTGTTTGCAGTTTGATGCCCTGGATGGAGCTGGATGGTGAATATCTCTACCTGTCTCAAGCGGAGAACATCCAGGCATACCAGCTCTGTGCAGAGGGGACAGGTTTGCAGCGTCACCCTCAAGCCATCTTCTCTGGCCACCAGGAGGACGTGTGTCGCTTTGTTCTTGTCAACTCCCACATTGTCAGTGGAGGGGGGTAAGTTGGGTCAATGAAGGAGCCCGAGGGTTTTGCCAGTGAAGTTGGAAAGATTCTGTGTAACTCCAGTCCAGAGCAGAGTTTTGGTACACAGTGTCCTAATGCTTGGCTGTGGTCAGCTGCTGCTGCTTCCTCTCTTACAATTTTGGTTCTGGCCTGAAAAAGCTTCACCTGCAGCAGTGAAGGAGCTGAGTCTCACACTGTTGACCTTAAAAAGTGTCCTTTGCTCTGTAAACTTGTGGTGATGTCCACAGGATTGTTGAATCAGGAATGACTGATCAGGCAAACCTGACTGTTGTACAAATTTCATTTCTTTCCCTGTTAGAGCCAGGGTAGCTCGACTGTTCTGATAATCAGTACTGCTGGTTAGCTGGGACTGCAGTAGTGCAGAAGGTTTTCTAGAGACAAGTTTGTGTTTATTAGACACACTGATGTAATTGTGGTGAGGGGAAAAACTGCCAAGCCTTCTAGCACACACATACACTTCTCCAATTCATTTTGCATTTGACTGGACTTTTACAGTTACAGCAAGTGACAGGACTTTCATTAATAGCTAAAACTATAAAAATATGCCCAACAGTTAAACACAGAATTGGGAGAGACAAGCATGGTTGTCTGCCCTGGGTATTGTGGGACTTTCCCCTGTGAACTGTAGACCAAAATTCAGGTGAAAATGAGGGCTTGCATTTAAAATTCCAGTAACTGTGTTGCTTGAAAAAGGTCTAAATGTCTGGGTAGTTAATTCAAAGCACAGTACCCTGCATGGCTGCTCTGAAATGAATGAAAAGCTGAGGCTTGGACATGGGTGAGAATGTACTCTCACTTGTTCCCTTACTCCAGCCATTCAGCATACAGACAGGATTCTGGCAAGCTCAAAGCAGTAGGAGGAGGAATGGCTACTTTGCTATAGTTTCTGCAGCTTAACACAAAGTGAAGGGTGGAAAGATAGCCAGGAAAATTTTCTAATGCATCAGATCAGGCTTTAACTGGCCAGATGTGGAATTGCAAGAGAACAGGTGATGTGTGAAGAGTGGAGGGTTCATAATGCTGCATGAATTTCAGCCCCTGTCAGAGACCAGTCCTGGTCTTTTTGTAGCACTCCAAAGCTTAGTGGAAGGTGCATGTCCAAGAGGTCCAAATTCCCTGCCTGTGGATTTGTTTTTCAGAGATGGAAGTGTTGTCCTTCACAAGCTCCATGGCTCCTACAGCGTCAAGTTCTCTGCACATGAGCAGGAGGTGAACTGTGTGGACTTCCAAGGCGGCCTCATTGTCAGCGGCTCCCGGGACCGAACAGCCAAGGTGAGCAGGGAGTGTTTCAGCAGCTGCAGGTGCTGCTGTAGAGGTGACTTCAGAGGTCTTGTGCTATGAATATTTAAGTGTCAGCAGAATTGTTGTGAGCCCTGTCCTCCTTGCAGGAGGAATGCTGACTGTCTTGGCTCATGTCTCTGAAAAGATGCTTGCTCTGCCAGGCTTGTTAGCAGGAGATTTGGCAGTAATTTACAGCATCAGCTGCTGGCTTAAACTTGGAAGTGCAGAAGGAAGTAGCTGATGTTTTGCTTCTTTTCCTGTACATCCATCTACACTGTAGTGGAGATGCCTGCCAGTTAGTGTGAAATTTGCTGTATGGATCTCAAACCCATCCTTGTTGTGTTATTTAACATTGCAATGTGGTTTAACATACTCTCTGTTATATATTCAGTTTCTGTGAAGGATAGGATGATGTAATTTCCAAATCTATGGTTATTTACTAATTTTGTGGTTTATTTATTTGTGTGTGGGTTTTCTTGTGTGGTTTTTTTTTTTTCCCAATGGTTCTTGGTTTGCAAACCAGGAATGAAGTTAGACTATGAGTATTGTTAGCTCCCGTTTATCTCTTCCAGCTGGCATCACTGGGTCCTGTCACATAATTTTTGGCTATTTCTTTTTGGGGCAGGACGTTGTTGATTTTTGTCCTTTTGGATCTGGTTGGCAATGCTTTGTTCTTGTGTGGACCTGGAGACTTGTTCCTCTGAGCTGTAATCAGCTCTGTTTGATCAGTTTAGGAAGCTCTACACAGATGTTTCACCCTTATCCTGCTAGCATGATGCAGTATCTGCAGTATAAAACCTTTCAAGGTTTTATAGGAAGTGTGTGAAGCAGCATGACCTGATTTATTTTTGTTGGTCCCTCTAAACAGATGTACTCCTGAGTAAAACCACTTCTAAGTCAAGCAAGCAATGTTCCAATGCAAAAGGCAATTTTGGGATTGCTGTTTGCCTCCTGGGAGTAAGACCTTGATGCTGCTTTGTCTCACACTTCAGCAGTGCTGCTCCTCTCTGGTCTGTGGATCCTCTTTTCTGGGAGAGTGCCTTCTTGCTACTTCTCTGACAGCTGGAGGAGACATCCCCGACCTTGAGAACAAATTCCTGAAGCCCAGAGGGGAATTTCAAGCTGTTTTTCTTAGAGCTAGTGTGAGATCTTGCCCACACAGTGCTCTCTACAGCATATACTCTGGGGATGTTCACCTCTTATTTTTTATCATCTCTTTTGTAGGCTGTCTTGTTTGCGCGAATGAGGCTCTTGGAGGGTGGAAGGGAATCCCTACCAACCTTTTAAAGGGGCTCTAAGTGTCTAAGCTATTGAGGGCTCTGCTGAGTGTTGATTAGGACTAAGCCCTGAAGAGCTGTTAATGTACATTCCTGTGTGATAGGCAGCAGATAGTGTGCTCTGAGCAATATTTTTAACCTGTAGGAGATAGGGATGCCTTAAAGGAGTTAAGCTTTTCTGCTGCTTTTGCTGACACTAGGTGCTAAATTCCCCGCTGACAAGAATAGCCTGCAATCCTGGGCATTATCAACAAACAAACAAATAGGGCACTCCACGCTTTGAAGTCTTGAAGCAAAACACTGGGGGTTGGTTACAGACAACTGGGGGGCTTGAGTCCTGTGGGCCAAGAATGATGGCAAGGTGGAGAAAATGAGGGGCCACTAGCAGAGGCCCCAGCAAGAATTTTGGGGCCTTTTTTAGGACCCAAAAACAAAGGGATGAACTGGTGGAAGGAGATGTGCATGTTTGCACCGTTGGGGGAGGGAAGGAATTCTCTCGTACTGTCAGTGAGCAAGGACAGCCAAGTTTGAAAGCAGCCTGGGGTACATTTGAAAAACTTGGTCTAAAGTGGGGTCTTCTAAAAGAGGATTATTTTACAGGCTGGTGAATGATTAACTTTATAGTTAATATTAATGGAAATTTTCAGGGATGCTACTAAGTCTTCTCACACTGTTCAAGAGAACAGATTTGAAGAAATCCTAATTGTCATTTATTTAACTACAGAAGATGAGGCGTTTGTGTTGAATGCTGCCCTTAGAGAGCAAGTGGTGATGGGGCTGCTCTCTCTGTTACCAATGGGGTGGAAGGTCATACTTACAAGCTGACTTCAAGTGCTTGTTTCTGCCAGCAACTGAAGGCTCTGCTCCCCCAAAATAAGTAATTGGAATTCAGGGAGAGCGTCTGTGGGAAGGTAGGCATGGTAGTTTGGGCAGCTCTTCCAGCACATTAGCAGCATGCATCCTACATTCTGCAATTTTGGGTGATGTGGCATAACATGCATCTCTCTCTTTAGGTTTGGTCCCTGTCGGCGGGCAGAGTTGGTCAGTGTCTACATACTGTGCAGACAGAGGATCGAGTGTGGTCCATTGCTATCAGCCCATTATTAAGGTAACAGATCTCTTTATTCCCAATTTTCATCAGAGAGAAGTAAAGGAGTTGGATAGGCTGTGTGTCCACAAATCTTTGTGAGGCACCAATGTGACGGTTCAGGGACTTGGTTTGTGTGGAGGCTGATCAGGTGCTTGTGCCTGCTACAGGAGCTCAGGGAAGAGCATGTGGCCCTTATTTCCTATACCAGCAGAGTAATCCCCTTATAAAGAGGCCATGAAGGTGGCCCTGGGTTCCTCTTAGTGCCTCAGGTGAGACCTGTTCATTCTTTCTTGAGGAAGGAACGCTGACTTGTTAATTAGAAACAGTGAGCATACACCAGTGTTTTCCAGGGTGTTCTTTGAAGTGCTCTGTTATTGAGGAAGTGAAAATCTGAGAAACTCTCAGCGTTAAAATCTTACTCCAACCAGCAGTGGTCTGTCTCTTTGGTTCTCTGTTAAACTGGCCTGCTTGCAAGAGAGGTTCTTCCTCAGCATACCTCAGGGAAGAGAGGAAGAAGAGCTGCTGTTGCTGCTCATGTGATGTCTGCAACTGCTGAATTTTAGGCTTGTGCAATATCAAAATACTGCCCACAACTGCTGTCCTTGTTAGATTTCCAAGCTTGTTTTGCAGGCAGCAGAAACTTAGTGGTACTGAGCTAATGGCTTTATCAGGGAAATGACACTCCAGGCTTACTATGATTTTGCTGTTGTCTTGTTCCTTTGCTCTGAGTGTTTGAGACAATTAGTGTTTTTGAAGAATAGCCATGTGCGTTAGTGCTGCTGCAAGATGTGAGTAGAAGCCCTTTGCTGTCTTCTGTGCTGCAAGTGTCCCTTTTCTGGCAGACAGGCTGTGGCTCAGGCACCGTGGCTAGTTAGAGGCCAGTGGCATTCTGCTTCCTACTCCTAAGTGATGACCTACTGCCGTGGCCTCTTGTCAGGATGGTGTTCCCCTCCATGGTGTGCATGCTTGTGCACACTCTCTGTCACAATATTTACCCTCAGTCTCCCCACCCCCCTTTCCTCCCTGCAGGGTGATAAATTGGAGGTGGTGGAACAGCTAACCCATGAACAAGTGGGCTTAAATTGTGCGCTCTCATTTTTTATGAGATTCTGGACTGTACCAGCCTCTCCCACTAGCCCAACCTACTGCACCCTCCCCTTACCCCTCCATATTTTAGGGAGGGGGGTGTGGAGAATTAGAGCCAATTAGCCACGTCATTAATTCTTCAATTTGACGGCTGATATAGCAGGGCCTGAAACACGCTGCTGACCTCGTATAATGGGAACCCTGCTCCTTAACATATTGACGATGGGAGAAGTTAATTAAAATTCCACAGAGAGAAGGTGTCGGCTAACCTATAAACCTGTCGCTTCTCAGAACAAATCGCAGCCATCCTAGAAGAGAGAGAGGATCAGAGCAGGAGGGCATGTGGTGGGGGTTGGCCAGGGCAAGGGGCAGGGGAGATGAATTTTTCACTAATAGGTTTTATTACTTGCTGTCTAATGAGGGTGAGTATCAAAAAGATAATATCTGGTGTCTAGGAAAGTCTGCTTTGGGGAGATCTGTGGTTTCTGTTTTATTTGCAGGAGCCCATATTTCACCCATATGCATTCCCTATGCACTTATGTCTGAAGCTTTTCCTCCCTTGCAGTCCCCATCCTTCTAGCCAGAGCTTGGATACATTTGTTCCCCAGTGAGGCTGAACATGGCCTATAACCTCCACTTCCTCCTAAACATTTAACATGACCTTCTGATTCTCCCTTCTCAGTTGTGCTCATGTAAACTGAGATCTCCTCCATAAGGACAGGTAGTTCTACTGGTATATAACTGCTGGAGAATCAGGCTCCAGCCACCTAAGTATTTTGGCCCACTGCTGCTGAGAAATGGCAGCTGTCTCTACTATGGACACACAGAGCTCAAAGCAGTTGTGTGCAGTGGGTTAGGAGAAAGGAAGGCTCCTCCAACTCTAGCCATTCAAAATTGCTTTGGAGAAGCAGTGGTTTCCTGACCTGGAATTTTGCCAGGACTTAGACTCTAGAGTCGTCAGGGTGGTATTCTTACTGAACTTCAGCTGTTAATGGGCTGAAACTTTCTGTCTTTTCAGTGATGTCTTCCTCTGTGTGAAGCTTCGTGTAATCCCATATGCTCCTGACCCACAGCTGGGTTTTCTGCTGCGCCTGCTGTAGTAGTCCTGCACTGCTGGACTGCTACTCTAGAGGACAGTGCCTGTACACTCAGGCCAAACATTAGAGACTTGTGCTCTTAGAGCACAGCTCCTCTGCTTTCAGGCATTTTTCCTTAGGTATTCTGCTTTGATTTGTCCATATTTTCCCTGTGTCACTACAGAGATCATCCTGTACATATGCGGAGCTGGGGGAGGAGGCTTCCTTGTTCTTAGTGTAGTGGTGCTATTCTGGATGTTTCTGGGTCTGCAAACAGAATGATTCCTATAAGGGAGATTAGGTAGGGGAAGAGGTATTAAAAGGGTACCAAGAATATTGGATCATCTCTTCATATTGTGCAGAGGAAAACTGTGCTTAGTCCTTTACTTAAGCTTTTCGGCCATGGAAGTGTCTTGACATCCACGTGTGTTGTTGGAGCTTCATTGCTTTGGGGATCCCTAACAGTGCACTGCAGGGTATTGGGGATAGGAGGGCATTGTGTTCATTCTGAGTCTGCCAAGTTATGCAGGTTGGTGTGCTTTGTATAGCAGGTTACGCATTGCATGTCTCATGTGACTAGAGAAGACTCTGAGAGAGTTCTTAAAGTAGGATATTTAAAATAAGAGTACCTCATCAGTTTCTTTCATCCACTGGTTTAATTGATCTCTGAAGCTGTCCTTCTCCATGGATTAGTAAAATGCTGTACTTACTCTGCTGCATACCCTAAATTACATTTCTTAGCTGTTACTAATCCTCTTCCCCCTACGAGTTCATTTGCCTTTTGAACTCTGCATCATGCAGATGTTAAACTTTCATTTACTGGTGCTTACTGCAGTGACTTATGTGTGCTCAGGGACCAGGGCAAACCTAAGTGCAGTGGACCAATTCAAATGTGCAAAGTGAGGCAAACTTAGGAGTTTCTGGTAGAGCAGTGGAACCTTCATGCTTTGTGGTTCCTGAGGTGGCAGTAGCCAGGGAAGAGATGGGAGCAGTGTACAATGTAAACTGGTGGGGAAAGAAAAAAGTGCACCTTCATGTTAAGTTCATTATTAATCTTGGATCCAGATTTTTTTTGTGTTGAATTTAAAAAAGTACTCAGATCTAAGCTGACTTCTCCTGCCAGGTCTGGCCACTGGCATTTGTTATTTTCATTTTTAAATATTTAAATATTTATCATGAGATGCTGTACTCAAAGTGTGTCAGATTTTAAAGGAAGAAAAGAGAAGATGGAGGCACACAAATGGTTTCCATTGTGCGACTGTAGATAAGCAGCAGGATGCCAGGTTTCAGCTGTGGGTAGAGAGCTAGGAAACCCATGGTACACTTTGGGGCAATCATAAAGTGCCCTACTGTGACAGAAACATGCTTTGGGTATGTAAGCCCAAGAGACAGTCTGTTCTTTTCTGACTTTGTCATTAGTCTGCTACAATAGATGACCTCTCCTTTTGGATATTGTCTTGGTGAATGCAGGTTAACTGCAGAGAGAAGGAAAGTTTGTACTGAAGACTAGCTGTCTGCATTGGATGCTTAATTTAAAGGAAAATATGTACTTACATGAACAGCTACATTTAAAAAGCCAGGCTGGCTCTCCTATTTATGCAGTGTGGTAGTTGAGACCAAACTCCTGTATTTGAACATTCTGATTTTAACCTAATTGCCTGTCCCATGGATTATTATATGAGGAAGTAATATCGGAGCATATCTCTGCTTCTATGGACAACCTCAGGCAAATTGTAAAACGAGCCTCAAACTCATTGGGGAAAGGAAGGAAGAGAAAGGTTACTTTACTGAATGGGCCTCTCTTCCATTTGGAGCGATCAAAATGATTAATTTTGAGGGCTTCTTTTTAATAGTTATCTAGAAACTTCTTGTGAAACTGTAACAATCTGATCTTGCAGGTTGTCTTAGAGCAAAACAATTCACTTGAATCAGAGGAACTTTGCAGTGGTTTTAACTGTGCAATTGAAGCCCTAATGGGTAGAAGTTAAAATGTTGGATAATGTTCCCCTGCCCTCATTTCTTACTCCGATTTCATCAGCAGGTTTCCCCTACTGCATATCAAGATGAGCTGTTGGCTGTAGTGTGCTCTGCTTTGACCTTGCTTTGTGCAGTTAACCTCTCTGAGTCTGCTAGGACCTGGGAGAAGTAACTGAGTTTTGTTGGGGTTTGTGCATTGCCAGCAAAACAGCCGGCAGCAATAGCTCTGCTGTCCTTGGGGATCTTCGTAGAGCCTGGTTGGTTTGAATAATTGAGAGGGGACTCTGACCTGCAGCTGTTTCTTAAGTAGGGTAGGAAGAACCTGCTCAACTGTGAGATCCCAGAGTGGACGTGCAGAGTTAGTGGTGGCATTAACTGCCATCTTTTACTGACCTCAGAGGGTGATCTGGATGTAGGTTTCTAGGTACATGCAATAGCCATAACTGACTTGGTGCTCTTTCACCCTAAAGCTGAGGAGCAGGAAATGAGTATCAGTTTCTCCCCTCTGGAGCTAAAATGACACCTGTGTCTTATCCATTTGCCCTGACTGTTCCCTTGATGTTGGGAGGAAGAAGACTTTGTTTTACCTTCTTTAACTGTGTGAGAATAGCTCTATTTTGTCTTCTTCATGTGGGTGAACACATGAACATGCATGTCCGTTTTCCCTCTCCTCTAGAAACAAACAAATATGCAAACATTTCTATAAAACTGCAGCTTACCTTTCTTCACTTCAGTTTCTTTCTTTTGCCCTCTAAAGCTCACGTGATTGATGACTTCCTTCCTTTTTGTCACTTTTGGCCAATACTCTAATTTATATATTTTCTGTGAGTGTGTGAATTGGCTCACTAGTGATTGCAGGCAGGTGAGCAGGTTTTGGGA